ACCCCCTCCCCAGGTCGACCCTTCCCTCTGTGAAGGGGGCAGCAACAGAGCTGTTTTTTCACAGTATGGAAGGGGGTGTGGGGGTGTCCATGTTCTGCTGTGGCCCTCTGCACCCAGTGGGGCCCTGGACTCAGGCCCGGCAAGGATTGGGGTCCAGCATGCTCACCTGGGGTGTTCTGAGGCAGGGCATGGCAGCAGCCATCCTTACCCAGGGCTGGCAGCACCGTAATTGTTTGGAGGGTGACTCGCGGGGGACAGGCCTTTTGCCCACCTCCAGTCCAGGTACTGAGCAAGTCCCAGTGCTGAGGTTGCAATCCTTTCGGGGCCCACCGTCAGCTGCGGGGTCTACGGCTGGAGAGAGGGAGTCTGAGTGCCTGTGAAGACCTGCACTTACCCTGTGAGTAGCCCCTGACCAAGGAAGAGTTACATTAAATGGCAAATCAAAAACACCATGACAGGTCAAGAAAGCCACCAGAAAAGAAAGGAAAAACTTTATATAGTACCCTTGTTTTGAAGATTTATTTATGTGAGAGAGAGCAAGAGCGAGAGCGAGGGTGCGCCCTCCCCACCCCACCCCCCTGGGTCAGGGAGGGGCAGAGGGAGAGGGAGAGAGAATCCTCAAGCAGACTTCTTGCTGAGCGCAGAGCCAGAGTGGGGGCTTGATCCCAGGACCCTGAGATCATGACCTGGAAATCAAAAGCCAGCCACTTAACCGACTGAGCCATCCAGGTGCTCCCATACAGTGCCTCTTAAGGGTGCCTTTTTCCTGCATTTTGAACAAGGGGCATGCATTTTCATTTTGTACTGGGTGGGGGTAGGGGTGGGGGTGTTACTTACGTAGCCAGCCCTGCTGTGCTATGGTCAGACCTTGTGTCATTGTAGCTTCAGGTCATCAGAGGAGGAACAGTTTACTCCAGGAGGCAAGGAGACTTTCTATTTGCTTACTCCTCCCTTATTTACCTTTGTCTTGCGAGTGTTTTAGAGTTGCACTGCTTGCTGTTCCTGGGTTGGAAGATGGGGGCTCTGGAGACTCTGGCTGGCTGGCCAGCCCGCCAGCGGAGAAGGGCTGTTTACCATATGGATGGCAGTGTGGAGCAGCCTGCCCCAGGGTGCATTCATCTCAGCTTTATTGAAAGCCATTTCCTGAAGGTATCTCTCTGGCGAAAAGATGTTTCTTTTTTTTTTTTTGAAGATCCCAGCTTGAGTGCCAAATAGGTCTCTGAATATTGCTTTGGGACATCTTTCATTCCAGCAAATAATGGCCTTAATGCACTGGAAAACACAACTTGGTACCAATGCTGTGGTGATAGTCAGGAGGGTCCTCTCCACACAGAAAGGGCAGGCTGTACAGTTCTCACAATCACAGCAGGGGATGTTCCTGGGGGAGGCATTTGGGAAACTGCTTTTCTCATGGAAACAATGTAGTAGCTACATGCCTAAAACCTTAATCTTAACGCTTCTCTTTTAATGAACATAAATGCCATAAACAAATCGGCTAGAAAGTATATAATTGTACACTGTCCAATAGTAAGCTTTCAAAATGTGAATCAGTTGGACTGGCAATAAAGAAATAGATCATTTCAGTTATCTTTGTTTGGTTGTTTGACAATTGTTTGCTATGGACAGAGAGGGGGAACGCCAGGGGACAGTAGCTTCAGCGGGTGGTACATATGCACTGCTTGGCATCATCTCATAACAGGGCAAAGATCTCCCAGAAGACATATCTGAAAGGTGAGCTGATCTAAGTCAAGGGCTACCCATAGCATCATTTTATTAGTAGTTATGAATGAAATTTACATTTATGTGCTGAAATGGGAAATATCAAATATGTTTATATGCTGGAGACAAACTTAAAATGATTCCCTTACCTGCCTTGAATCTGTGCGTAGCGGGGTGTATCAATCAGACAGATGATAAACACCTAACCTGCCTACATAGGACTTAGATTTCCAGCCTTTTTTTAAAACCATTGCTGGCCATTTTTACCACTCTCCTCCTTTTTTTTTTTTTTAACCAAAATGTGTTCTTCATAATGGGGTTAGAGATCAAAGCAAAGAAAATGGGGTTATTTCCTTTTCATAGGCCACTCTCCTTGTCCTCACCAGAAGGTAAATTGGTAAATGTTGGCATCCCTTTTCCTACGCTCCTTGTCTACAATTCTGAGATTCTTGCAAGCCCCTCTCTTGCTCCTCTGGCTCAGGGGAATGGATCGTGTCTCATATTTAGAGATGTATAGATAAAAAATAGAAACTGAAGATAAGAACAAATCCGAGGGGCCCCAGAGCCTACTACAGTACAAAGGCCTCAGGGCCGTTCTCTCGGTCACCTCTCCCCCTGGCTACCTAATCCGGAGAGGGCTGAAGGCTGCTTATGAGGGCTAGTCTTGAAAGAGGCATACATCCTTACTTGCCTCCCCTGCTCTCAGTTCAGTCACTTACCCAATCTAACTGCAAGAAAGGCTAGAAGCTGTTCTCTGTCTAGACTGCTGGTCAGAGGCCATGGTGTAGGAGACCTGCATCACTACCTCTACTACACTAAACAGTTGGTGCCACAGAATCCAGGAAAGGTTCAGAAATTGGAAGCATGACACTTTGGAAGCCAAAGGTGGTGGGTGGGGCTGAAAACTGGAGGATTTGCGAAAAATTTCATGAGGTACAGTTTGACCCTGTACAGCCAAGCACTTGCCCCTCTCTGCTCCTAGAGAACGGTGGGAGGTTTGTCCTCTGAAATGAACATATCGGTTCTGGACTTAGAGATTCCTGGCATGGTCATGTGAGGGAGATGAGGAACCCTAATGGCTGAGACTTGATATTCCCAGCCTCCTTCTCCCACTCAGGCCCAGGATGTTGATAATCATACCTGAATTTTCCAGGCAGGATTCCCCTCTGAAGAAAGTGAACAGTTGAGGAGAAAAACTTACAGATCCTCCTAGTGAAATGGCTGTATCTTTACCATTTACCCTTGAGTGAGCCCCACCCACTCTCAGAGAACTTTTCAGTACCTCACATTTATGAACCTATGAACAAGGAGAGAGCCAGGGATCACCAAGTAATTAAAGACAGCCTCTAAGGCAAAAGACTAAGTCCAAAATAAACAGATTGAAAATGAACCCAGGTCTAAGAGGCAATGCAAAAAGCAAAAGAAAACTTGGGAAAATTACTATTAATTAATATCTTCAGAGAGATATGTGAATGTATTGCATGCATTTAAAAAAAAAAAAGAACATAGTGTTACAGAAAAGGCACATCCCTGTCACAAGAAAGAACTTTTGAAAATTAAAAACAGGATAGACAAAATTAATAATTCAGTAGAAGGGGTGAAAAATGAAGTTGAAAAAAACTCCCAGAAAGTAGAACAAAAGGCAAAAAGAGGAAAACTGGAGAAAGAAGAGAATAAAATTATAGGATCAATGTAGGAGTTTCAACATCTCATTAACAGGAGTCCCAGAAAAGTGAGAAACGGACAAAGGAAATTATCAAAGAATCTCCCAGAACTGAAGGTAACAAGTTGCCATATTAAAAGGCCCCACTGGGCACTCAACACAATGAAGGAAAGGAGACTTGCACTTAGGCACATTATCATAAAAGTTCAGAATACCAAAGATGAAAAGAAAAGCTGAGAGCTTACAGACAGAAAAAAAACAAGTCACAACAGAAGCCAGAAGGTAATGGATCAATGCCTTCAAAATTCTGAGGGGAAGGGATTTCCAATTTAGAATTCTATACTTGGCCAAACTATCATTTAAACATGAAGGGTAACTGCAACTAACTCTTAAATGGCTCAAGAAAAAAAATGTATATACAATATAGAGAGCAAACATGGCAAAAACATTAACTGGTGAATTGGTGAAGGGTATAAAGGAGGTTTTGGTAATATTCTTGCAAGTCTTCTCTAAGTTTGAAAAAAGAAAAGAATGAGGATAGAGTAAAGGGATTTTTAACCAACTGAGCCACCCAGGCGCCCAGAGTAAAGGGATTTTTAGATGTATAAGGTCTCCAAAGTTTATCTCAATGTCCACTTTTTTAATATGTCACTGCAGGATGAGATGTGTTCCAAGCAAACAAGGAAGTGAAAAAACAAACATGCAACCATGGGATCAAGAAAACAGAATCCAACATAGAAGGGTTGTGAAAGGGAAGTCCTGGGATGAAGCTGCATCATAGTCTGGAGAGGGGCCAGTCTAGCCCGGAGCAGGAGGACCCAGACAGAGGATTTATTTCCAATAAAATATGGAATTGATACATTAACCATTTGAGTAGTTTTATAGTTCAGACAGAGAATTTGGGGGTGAATAAATGGACAGGGCCTTCAAAGATAGAACAAACCAAAATCCGAGTTAATTATTAACTCCAGGGAAAATGAACAATTGCACAAGAAAGGAAATATAAATGATGTGGTTCAGCCATCAACAAGATTTATGTGGTCCCATTAATATAAAAATGAATAGAGAATATAATCACTTTGGGAATGAGGGAGGGAAATGGTGTGTGAGTGGAGGGCATAAAAGAAATCATTCCTCATTTTCTGTAGTAAGAAATCAATAGATAATGTGTCAAATGAAAAGGTCAAGAAAAGTAGTAGAAACATCTAATTTGGGATTTACAAAGAAAACATGAGAAAAATGTTTCAAAGAATTGAAGGTAGTGTCTCTGAGACATGGTAGCTTTGGAGTGGGTAAGGATAAGCAGAGGATGTGTTTTTCATAAACAGGGTTTGTTGGAAGAGTCTCAGTTTATTCTTGTTAGTCTGGCATAATGTTATTACCATTGTCCCTTTCACTTTCAAAATTATTCCAATTTGGATGAAGCCTTGAAGTGTTATTTGACTTTTTTGTTGTTGTTATTTGACTTTTTAAACTATGGATAGGTAATATTTTGATAAAAATAAAATTAAAAGAGAGAACTCTGGATCCTAAATAAAATAACCATATTTCATCCAGCTCAGCCAAAGACTTTGATTTTCTTTTCTCTAAAATTAATTCTTCATTTTAAGTTAAATACAAGCAGGCTTCCAGTTATGGAATGAAGTCACAAAAATAAAAGGCATAGCACGGGGGATATAGTCAATGACATTATAATAGTGTTGTATGGTGACAGACGGTAGCTACACTTGTGGTGAGCACAGCATAACGTACAGAGAAGCTGAATTACTATGTTGAATACCTGAACCTAATGTAATGTTATGTGTCAACTATACTCAAATACAAAAATTTTTTAAATTATTTTTTTAAGATTTTATTTATTTGAGAGAGAGAGAGCACAAGCGGGGTCAGGGGCAAAGGGAGAAGCAGACTCCCGGCTGAGCCAGGAGCCTGATACGGGGCTCGATCCTGGGACTCTGGGATCATGACCTGAGCCAAAGGCAGATGCTTAACCGACTGAGCCACCCAGGTGTCCCTCAAATACAAAATTTTAAAAAATAAATGAAAGTTATAAAAGAAAACAAATTATGATATATATTGAATTGAAACCTTTAAAGCCAGGAACTAGCTTCTATTTTTTTCTATATTTTCATTTGTACCTCTCAATAGAGTCTGCACTTTATATTGCTTTAGAGAATTTGTATCTGTATTTTTCTTGTATTTCTGCTATTAGGTCTACAAGAGGCCTACATTTTTTTTTAATTTTAAATTTTTTTTTTTAGGTTTTATTTATTTATTTATTTGACAGAGAGAGCGCACGCACAAGCAGAGAGAACAGCAGTGGGAGAGGGAGAAGCAGACTCTCCGCGGAGCAGGGAGCCCAACGCCAGGCTCGATCCCAGGACCCAGGGATCATGACTTGAGCTGAAGGCAGACGCTTAACCAGCTGAGCCACCCAGGTGCCCCTTTTTTTTAATTTTTAAAAAATATTCAATTTTGGAAAGTTTCCCCTACTAGACTTCAAATAACCTGGCAACAAGGTCCTGTTTGACTTCATCCATGCACATGTCTCAGTAACAAAGCTCAGTGACTTGCTCATAAATACTGCTTGAATAAAGGAATGAATGCAAAATACCTACCTACATACATACAAGCAATATGTCTGTTTCAAAGCACTTTTTACCTCCACTGCCTCATTTAATCCTTACAACTGCTTTACGGGATAAATATACCATCCTATTTTGCAGATGATAAAAATGAGGTTTAGACAGATCTTGTGACTTTCTAACAAGGTGATACAGCTAGTAGATACTAGGAGACACTGGACCAGGCCCACTAATGATGGTTCCCATGCTCTTGCCATAATATCAAATGATAAGGATTTAAGTCATTCCACAAACAGAACCTGAGATGCAAAATCAAGAACTCAGGTTAATAGTCTGGCTGTTAGAGAAACAGATTATGAAAACCAATGAATAATTCAAACATCCTTTTGTCAGACTGGTCTTTGAACAGAAATTATAATTAGTCTGCCCAGTTAGGCATCGTGGAAACTGAAATCACCCTCATGGAAGGACAGCCCACCCTCCCTTGGAGTCTCAGAGGATGAATCCCTGCTGCAAATCTCCAGACCAAGGAAGCAGTCCTAGTGGTTGTTTTATTTTTCAAAACATATCTTAAAGTTATAAAAACAATGCATGATTATTTCAGAAAAAAATAATGAAATAGAGATAAAACACAAAATTAAAAAATTTCAATTATCTAAATCCCATCACCTAAAAATGAACACAGCTTACATTTCAGTGTATGTATCTCTACCTTTGTCTAATACTAACACAAAAAAATAGGATCATATGATGCAAACTTCTTAGTAACCTGCTTTTCTCCCCCAAACACTCTATTTTGGGCATAGGTTCATGTCTACAGCCATTTGTCTATATGGTTCTTTTAGTAGCTGCCTAGTAGCTCACCATTTAGATTACTGTATTTGACTAATCTTCTGTCACTAGATATTTGGGTTGCTTGTTCTTTCTCTTTTTTTCTATTATTAACAATTAATAATTTTTTTCCATTATTTCTTTCTATTTTTTTGTTCTATTATTATTCTTCTACAGCAACAACAAAACTCTGCACACACATCTCTGTGCACATGTCCAATTATTTCCTCAGGATAACTTCCCTGAAGTGAGATTACTGGGCCAAAGAGCATGTATTCACGGTGCCTTCTAACTCCTATTGTAAATTGCCCTCCTGAAAAGTTGTACATCCTATTGATAAAGGATGTAAATGCCTGTACCAATGTATCCCACCAACCCTGTGCATTTTTTGATCAGTGCTGTTACCTTTTCTAAGAGTTTAACCAGGAGGGAACAAGGCAAGCGGGTTGAGATCGGACGCAGTTGAAACAAAAAGAAATGCCAAAAGAGTTCTTTAATTCCTTCTTTGGAGCCCCTCCCACACTCTGGTACTTTTCCAGTTTGAAACTCTAGCCTGGATGGTTCCATCCTCAGCTAACAGCCCAACTTTCCCCACCTGTCCCTCTTTTATATTATTTGATTAGGGGTCAGTCTCTCTTTACTAGTGAGCACATTGCTTTGAGATGAGGGTTCACCTTATATGTCAAGGTTTGGACAGCAACACTGCCCAGTAACAGGGTCACCTTGACATGCCTAAGGATTCCGAAATTTCAGAAACAGCCTTGTTAGAATGAACTGTTTAATACAATCTCCCACACTGATCTGCCAGCCATGGAAACAAGGCCACATTGAGGCTGGTTAAGACACAGGATCAGAGGCCTAGAGCTGGTTGTATATTCCTATACCTCCTCCTTTGATTCTTCCTCCCTGTTCCCTGGGCCCATCCCCTCCTAAGTCCTCCTCCACTAGCTGGTCACTGAAATGCCTTTGTGTGCTTTATTTTAAAGGGATGCCATTCTGAAGTTACATTCTCATGGTCCATTCTTTGCTTTCCATTTCTCATTTGCTCCATGATGGAGGATCACATCTCCATTCTTCCTAACCCCC